ACTTGTGGTCGTCCGGAGTTTTAAACGAGCTTCACGATCATTTTTTACTTATGAGATCAAACAAAACTGCAGAAGCATAAGCATTGCGACTTCTAATTGTAAAGATACGCTTTACTCTATACATCGATTACTTACAATTAGAGCCATATAAAACAAAGTTTATTACAAGCTTATCAACTACACATTAAAAGAAAAATTATACATATAACTTTCAAGAATCACGGTTTATGTAATCTAGCTAGGTCTCTATTTTTCACAGAAACAGAATACTACACGCAAAAATTGTTCTTGAGTTGAGTTTTGGCTTCTTCTTCTTCTCTATGGAAGAGTTGGGCCTAGGAAAGGGCTTAAGATGGGCTTGGGCCTGTTGTTGTTAATTTCTTAGCAAATTCAATTTAGGAGCTTAAGTGTTAGTGTTTCGCTACAGTAAAGTATATTTTCTGATAAAAATATGAATGCATGCGAACGAAGAAGTTCCTAAACCCCTACAAGCATCAAGAAGTCAAAACCTAAACGTAATCATAAAAATATTGCAACAAGGCTTTCGTGTTTCCACATACACATTTTACCAGATATTATAATTTAAAAAAATACGTTATTATTATAATAAAAAGAGTATAAAATATTGTCGACGTCATCAAGTTCCCGTGGAGAGTTGAGGCCGAAGCTGACGGAATCGTCGACTCTAACAATAGAATAGTAAGATTCCTTATTATTTGTTTGTACTTTTTCTTTAATAGTATATAATTCAATATAATTAAAATAATTTGATAGATTCTTCCACTCTGCAAGGAACCCTCATTGGCTGACGTAATAGAAATTGTCTCTTCGAGCAACATAAAAATCAAAACTTGCATTTATTTTTAAAATATCGAAGTGTTGTTGATATGGTATGTGTGGTCCTATTGCGAAAATTTTCATCACACCACGACAAAAATCGATATCAATTATTTTAAAAACATTGGCCCGTATTCAAAATAAATAAAACGAAATTGTTCACACTTCTTTTCCCTAACATTTACCTCCCACTAATCAATAAAATGTTGTTGATAATCTCAAACGAAAACTTTACATTTACGTAAGCTTGTATATATATATTAGTCTTTAAACACACATGAATATATATGTGTTTGTGTTTATTTTCTACATATGTGCACAAAAACAATTTAATGTTTAACTAATGTTGAAATATGTCTTTCGCTTTGTTACAAAAAATGTACTTTCCTTGTATAGAAACTAAACATTTTGACATGTAGATCTAGATGTAAGTACAAAGATTAAAATTATTACTCATGTTCCTGGCATGAGATAAAAAAATATTGTTTTTTCATTGTCTCCTACATAAAAAAAAATCGACACATAAAATGACAAAAAAATATAAACATCATTTAAGACTCGATCAGCTGATATCATCAAGATACAAAAACAAAAAAACACAAAACTCGAGTTGTTAATAAAAAAATCACGATGACGTCATATAAAAAAAAAAAAAAGTAAAGAAAGGAATCAATTTTGACCGGTTAAGAAGGTAAATCGGGTTTTGAGAAGTGACTTGTCTCAATATCACTACCACTCGAATAAAACAGAAGAAAAAACGAAAGGGGTATATAAGACTTTTCCACCTTTAAAGACGGCGTCGTTTTCATCGAAAAGCAATTTTAATCGATTTCCCAAAATAGAGCGTTGTCTCATCCAATCAGAACCGTTACAATCGATTGAAACAGAGGGTATTTTGGGTAATTCATAAATGATTCTCTCCCTCTAGAGGTTTATAAACGAAGGACCTGAAGCGTACCACGCTCAAATA